GCTCATTAAAAATTAGTTTTACAAATTTATATGTAGTCAAATTAAAACTGTTTGACCTGTTTGACACTAAACAATTATGCTAATTTGTTATTTTTCATTTATTAAGATGAACGCTGATATTGTTTGATCTCTGGATGCTTATTTGATCACCTGATGCTATGTTTAATCACCTAGTGATATTTAATAGGGTTGATTATGCATGAAGACGACTTTCGTCAAGAAATATAATTTATAAATGTGTTAACATAGCATGGCTATATGCTCAACATCGATATCTCAATGTGAGGAGTTTCTTTTGATTTTTATTATTATAGCATTGACTAGACGATACACCCATCTTGCTTAGACATGTTTTGGGTCACAGTTATTTTTCATAAATTTTACGGAGGTTGTTCCACGGTAACTCTATGGTTAGTGAATAATATTTCATGCACAATCACTTAAATAAAAAAATAAATGTGGTGGTTTATAATGAGGAATTAGACGAGGAATATAAAATGTATATAAGCGGGCTCATGCGCATCCCTGATATCTTGAGTTATATATGAAATTACCCTAGAGAGGGGTGAATAAGATTTTGCTAATCTAATCCAATATTAATGTCAATTTAAAACTAATTAACAATATATCCTAGCAAGTATGATATTCAACAACTTATGAGCAGGGATATGTAATTAAAATAAGGGCGATATAAACATGACCACAATATGGAAATGAGATAGTGCGCAAATGACAAACGCAAACAAACAATATGATCACGGAGTTCGGTCACTTCTGACCTACGTCTCCGCTCCCCACTCTCGAGGAGAATCTCCACTATTTCAAAATATAACTACACAATCGATTTTTAAAGCTCACCAATAAACGTTTTCAACTCACATAATTGCAATGACACAATACACCCTCTAAGTGTTGGCCTAGCTCGTGTCACCTTCCTCAAGTGCTTGGATTTAAAACCTCTCACTAGGCTTTACTATCAACGCCACTCCTCTTAGACTTAACCACGTCTCTCACCAACCACTCCTCTCGGTGTCCTTGTGTATTACAATATGATCTTAACAAATAGTCTCACAAATACAAATAGTTTGTTCTCTAACAAGATAAGAACTCAATTAATCTCACTCTCAATAAATCACTCACCACAACCCAAATTATACTTAATGTATGAAATGCAAAAAGCTCAATAGGTGGTGTGTGTGTGTGATCAATGAGTAATAATAAGACTAAACTCAATATAAAATCTATCTTAATGAAAAGATAATCAATAACAAATATATATAAAGCTAGAAATCAAGTTTAGTGAAACTTCTCTGAAAAAAAGAGTGAGAGATGAGAGATTGAAGCCCAAAAACGAAAATATCGATCTCTTCCTCTTGTGAAAACTTCTTCACACAAACTTGAAAACACACTTGAAACCCCCTTAAACAAACTTGTCCAAAACTTGATTTTTGGTTTTTCTTAGATGATTCAGAAGTTAGATGGCAAGGGGTATACGTAGGTTCATGAAACAAAGTCCAATAACCAAGAAAACCCAAGCAAAAAGACAAAACCCGAAAAATCAGCAAAATTGGAAAACTAGTCGTTACAATGCCATCAGTCGACTGATGGTACTGTTCAGTCGATTGATGAGCTGACCGTTAGAGGCCGCTCATCCTTCATCGGTCGACTGATGAAATCATCAGTTGACCGATGACATGCTTTAGTCGACTGATGGCTCATCAGTCGGCTGAGCATAGACTTTTGCTTATTCCAGCATGTTTCTTCGGTCGACTGATGAGTTTCATCAGTCAACTGATAACGTGCATAAGGTCTTTTAAAAATAGTAAATTTGAACTTTGAACTCCTTTAAAAAATAGCAAATAAATTCTAAAAAATATAAATTTAGGGAAATGTTTATAAATATGAAAATAAACATGTTACAAAAAAAATTTTAAATTGCATTTCCTATTTGTGAAAACTCATCATTTTATAAAATCGGTCAAAATACAAAATCTCAAAAACATATGATTTTAACAAAATGATTTCAAACAAGTTTGAAACTTCTTTTGAATGGATTAATAGACCGTGTAAAAGATATAATCAAGTCTTTTAATCTGTAAACACATATTGTGCAAACTTTCAAAAATATGAAAACAATAAACATGATTTCATTGATTTGAAATTGTTAAAGCTTGATTTCAATGAAATCATTTCATGCACTTATAAATATGAAACAATTATGTGTGTATATGACTATATCCATTTGTTTCATATTTTTGTGGCTAAACTTAAAAGCAATAAAATGAAAACAAGGTGTGTGTATAATTTGAGCTTTTAAGTATAAAAACACAAAGTATAAGATCTAAACTAGAAACAATATACCCAAGCTAAGAGATATTCGATATGCTCGTCTTGGTTGTGGATGAAGCTTGAACTTGTACTTGACTTGAAATGCAAAGCTTCATTCTGACATTTCTTCTATCCTCCAATGGATATGATCGTGTAGGCGCAAGTCCATCCAACCTCCAACTAGGATGTTTGTGTAGATTACCAAATAAAAAAATTCAAACACTCGACACACGATGTTAGGAATTGTTTGTTAATCATCAAAACTAGATTAGATAGTATGCTCATAAACAGGAGACCTAACAATATATACAAGGGCCAATGGCCAATACTTGACTTGAAGCCGTGTTTTCGGGACGGTTTACGGGAAACCGATTTATATAAATGATATTATTCTCATCTAATTCAAATAACAAGTAAATAAGAATACCGTGCTTATAGACTCTGTGATAGATTTATTCCTAATATCTACAAGTAGCATTTCTTTTAGCCACATTTAATTTAGATTTCATCTTTTCTTTATATTTGCTACACACACTTACACGTGCACAATTCCTTCATTTTACATGCTTGTTAGGAGTTTCCTGATTCTCATGGTGTTTGCGCACCCCAGACTCGGGAACTACTCTTTCTTCGTAGGACCGAGAGTATTTCGAGGAGCAGGCTCATCGACAGTGATCACCGTTCATTCTATCAGTTCTCCAGTTTAGTTGATTTAGGTAGTTATTTGGTATAGGCTTTCTCTTGAGTCACGTGTGACTCTTTCTAGACTATGATGAAAAAATTTCTTTACTCTTTTCCATCGTGGATAGTTATGAACTTGTATTTAGACTCCGTACTTTTGGAGATTTCTTCATCTATACATTTCTTTTATTATCTTGTTTACATGCTTTATGGTGTAGTTTTGGCTTTATATTGATATACAGGATGATCTAGAGGCATGAATGTGGCTGAATGGTTGCGCTGCCAGCCGAGTCACGTTCCAAGTTATTACACTTGGTACCGGGGCGTGATAAGGTTTTTATTGGTATAAAAGCCAGGTTTAGGAATTGTTGTCTCATCTTGTATCTAAAAAACTAAGTTTGAACCAAAAATAGAGCATGTATAGAATGAGTTCTTTCCTTTTTAAAAATACGTCATTTGACTCCCAATACCTTGATTCTCAAGTCCAAATCTTGACCAGTCTCATTTCAGGTGATCACAATGGGCCCAAAATGTCGACCCCCTACTCCAGTTATCCCTGAGGGACACCAAGTCGATCAGGCTGATCTTGTAGAAGCGATTAGGGAGCTGGTAGCTCATAATCGTCAGAGGGATGGGCAGCAATAGGTTGTAAGGCCGGTTAATGTGTTCGATTTTCGAAAGTTCAACCTGCAACACTTTGTTGGGATTGAAGGCGGATATGAGGCTGAGATGTGGTTACAGACCATGAACTGCCTATTAAGGACAACAAAGATACCAGACGAAGACCGAGTGAATATTGTACAGTTGTAGCTCATTAGTGTAGCCAGGACCTGGTGGGACATAGAGGAGGAGAAGTTGCCCGAGACAATTTTGTGGGAGACATTCCGGGAGAGTTTCCTAGAGACATTTTTCCCGAAGACAGCTCATCTTGAGATGTAGAGGCAGTTTGTAATGCTGAGACAGCAAGCTAATACTGTAGATGAGTATGCTGCCGAATTTGCCAATGTCAGCAGGTTTGCAATAGGGATGGTATCGAATGAGGTGGATAAGAGACAAAGGTTCATGCAGGGTCTAAATTTTGAGATCCAAACTCAGATTTACAGTAAGAAGGGGATAGAGACTATATGCTGATGTCCTAGAGGCAGTACGAAAAGCAGAGCAACTGATTGGGATCATGAACTCGGTGAAGAGCGCCCTGCAGGACAGACCTCGGGATATAACCAGCAGAAGCCTCAGATGGGAGAAGCACCAGCCAAGTGCCAGCAGACAGGGACTTTGAGACCATGCAGAGCGACGGATCATAAACTCGTCACTTGTCCTAGTAGAGGAGTTTTAGGAGGAACTTCAAGTAGAGTGATAGTGCCAACATGCCAGACTAGACATGGTGGACAACAATTGAGGCCATCACTTCCCATGCAGCAGCAGATGTTTTGAGGATATCATAGGGGACAACAATTTCAAGGCCCGAGATAGTGGAGAGATCCCCATTTCCAATACCCTTACCAGCTACACTATCAGTAGAGGTGCCCAGGCCAATATGGTCAGCAAGCTCAGCAACAGCAAAGACAAGGTCATGTTCTGATACGTTTCGTTGAGCAGGCAGATGCCTCTGGTGATGTAGTCACAAGTACCATTTTGATTTATTCAGTCGCTGCATTTACCCTTTTTGATTCTGGGGCATCGTACTATTTTATATCTGCTCAGCTCATTGCATGACACACCATACCATGTGATACTTTAGATGCAAGCTGGAATATCCATACAGGCAGTGGGGTGTTAATGTCTAGTAGGGAGTGTAAGAAATGCCCAGTGGTAGTTTGTGGTGGGGAGCTATTTGCAAACTTATTGGTGATTGATACTAACAGGTTCGATGTTATTTTGGGGATGGATTGGCTCTACAACTTCTATGTAACGATCACCTGCCACGCAGAAACGTAGTGTTCAAGATACTAGTTCACCCAAAGTTTGAATTCATGAGCGGTAGCAAAGTGATGGAGCAGCCAGAGTATCGAGCCGGCATGGATGGAGTATTAACCTGTATAGAGGTAGAGGAGAAGTACATACCAGAAATTATCGAGGAGTTCCTTGATATTCTCCCTGATGAGTTGTCGAGTCTGCCACCAGATAGAGATATAGAGTTCATCATCAATCTTATTCTACGGGTTGCACCTATTTCAAAACCACCTTACTGGATGTTGATAGCAGATTTTGAGGAATTGTGTAAGCAAGTCCTAGAGTATCTCAATAATAAATTTATCAAGCTTAGTGTTAGCCCTTATGTTTTGATGATGTTTTACAACCATCATTAACGGTACTAATGGCTTATTGAGTGCAAATGTAGTAAACTCATTTATCAAGCTTGTTAGTGCCATTTATGGAGGATTGGATGAAATATACGCTACAACGATGATATCCAAAGGAGGAGGAGGCATAGTGATGAAGCAATGTTATTTCAAGAACAACAAATTCATATAAAAGCTTCATCTAAAATCAAGCTATATCAAGACTCAAAGATTATATTCTATGTGAGGATATTAGCTAGTTTTTTATTCTCTCTCTAGTATTAGAATGTAGGCAAAGAGTTATTGAATTCACTTGAAGCTATTGGGACTCACACACACATTTTCATACTTAAGCTTTTAAGCGTTTTTCGCAAAATACTATTTTTCACAAGTATGAGGACCTATCTGCAAAATTCTTTTTCCAAACAGATTGTTTTTAGTATTAAAAACATTTTACAAAGTTTCATAATTTTCAGAGGTCATATAAATATTTTCTAAATATTTTAGTTTGAGTCAAAACAGTTTTCTGGAGCATATCAGAATGCGGTCGACCGCACAGGTCGACCGCACTTGAGGTCATTCATCACTGGGCTCCAGAAAGGTCGTCGGTCGACCGGTGTAGTCGACCGAAATCTCGATTTTTATATCGGTCGACCGCACCGGTCGACCGATGATGGCTCTGCTTGTTTTCTAAGTTTTCAAAGCTACTCGCGATCAACCGGATTTTCGGTCGGTCGACCGAATTCATCTTTTCGGTCGACCGAACATTCTGGCGGTCGACCGATGGTTTATTCGGTCAACCATGACTTTTTCTCAAACAGTCGTTTGCCTTGTTTACTGTGCTTTCACTTAACTGTGTTTGGCACAGTCTGCTTTTTCTCAAACAGTCGTTTGCCTTGTTTACTGTGCTTTCACTTAACTGTGTTTGGCACAGTCTGTGGTAATAGTCTGAAGAAGAGATTATTTTCTTAATTGGAAAGATTGAGTTGTGATTTTAAAATGTTTAATCTCTTCTATTTAAACCCAGACTTCTTCTTCTTCCAGTTGCCCTAACTTCTGCTGAAAAACCAGAGAGACGCTGTCTTCTGAGAAAAATTTTCAAACTCTGTTTTCTTTGGTTTTTCACTGTGTTTCTTGTGTGAGTTCACTTCCCAGCTTCAGTACTCTTTCTCTTTGCTATAGGGTCTTGTAAAGAGAGAGTCTTGCATCATTTCTACTGCTGTGTGAGTGTGATCTTGTGTAGATCAACTGTGAGGGTGTGGGATCTGTTGAGATCAACTGTGTAGTGAGAGATTGAGAGGCAATCGCTGTGTAGACGAAGTTCCGGCTTCCAAACCGGGTGTGTAGTGGATTTCTCCTCGAGAGTGGGGAGCGGGGACGTAGGTCAGCGGACCGAACCTCGTTAACACATCGCGTGTCATAGGATAACAATTCCTAACCCTATCTCTTTTACTTTAATCGCATTACTGTTTTGTGGTTTGCTTGTGTTTAATTTTATTGCATATTAGAGCCTATTGACCCTAATCACCCCCCCTCTAGGGTCCAACACTTAGTACTTCACCTTAGGGAGCACTAGTGGTGTTAGTGCCAAAGCCGGATGGTAGCCGAAGGATGTGTATTGACTACAGGGAGTTGAATCGGGTTACTATAAAAAATAAATACCCAATTCCTAGGATTGATGATCTTTTCGATCAGCTCGAAGAAGCTAGGGTGTTTTCTAATCTGGACTTCAGGTCAGGCTATCATCAGCTGAAGGTGATAAAAGAAGATATATACAAGACCGCATTCTGCACATAATACGGGCACTATGAGTTTTGGGTGATGTCGTTCGGAAATACTAATGCTCCATCTACATTTATAAGCTTGATGAACATGGTGTTTTCCCATTATCTCGACCAGTTTGTGGTAGTGTTCATCGACGACATTCTTGTATACTCCAAGACTAAGGAAATTTATAAAGGATACTACAGGAAATTTATAAAGGATTCGCCTACATCTGTGACAGAAGTTTAGAGTTTCTTGGGGATGGATGGATACTACAGGAAATTTATAAAGGATTTCACTAAGATTGCCGAACCACTTACTAGGCTGACTCGAAAGGAGGTCAAGTTTGTGTGGACTCAAGACTGTCAAGCAGCATTTGAGGGGTTGAAGAAGAAGTTGACGACATCACCAGTTTTGATAATTCTGGATGAGTCAGGAGGATTTATAGTGCACACAGATGCTTCTGGTTTGGGTTTAGCTTGTGTTCTGATGTAACATAGAAAGGTAGTAGCTTATGCATTTAGACAACTGAAGACACATGAGAGGAACTACCTGGTTCATGATTTGGAATTGGCGGAGGTTATTTTTGCATTGAAGCTATGACAACACTATCTTTTAGGGCAGAGAGTGGAGTGTATACAGACCATAAAAGTTTAAAGTTTATCTTCACTCAGAAGGAGCTCAACATGAGAAGGAGCTCAACATAAGGCAACAGAGGTGGATAGAGCTTATGGCAGATTACGATCTTGATTTATAATATCACCCAGGACGAGGTAATGTAGTGCCAGATCATTTGAGTAGGAAGCCTGTGGCCATGAGACTTGCCAGACAACATGAGTTGCAAGCTGAGTTCTGGAGGATGTACATAGAGATTATATTGCTTTGAGCAGGGAGGTAGTTGATGAGTTTGTATTTACAGTCAACTCTGGTGGACCGGATCAAGGCTACCCAGTTCGAGGATGCTCGGTACCAAAAATTTAAGAAAAAAGTGGAGTCTGGGGAGAGAACTGGTCTACAGATACATGAGGATGGATCATTGCGATTATGTGGTAGGTTGTGTGTGCCTAAGGGCAATGTTAGAAGAGAGCTGTTAGAGGAGACGCACAGTTCAGTGCTTTCTATTCATCTAGGAGGCACAAAGATGTATCAGGATTTGTGAGAGCATTACTGGTGGCCAGGAATGAAGATGAAGATAGCCCAATTTGTGTCAAAATGCCTAATATGTCAGTAGGTGAAGGTTGAGCATCAAAGGATAGCTGGGTTATTGCAGCCCCTTCCTATTCCCGAGTGGAAGTGAGAACATGTTATAATAGACTTTGTCACAGCTCTGCCAATGAGACAGAAGAGAAACAACACAGTATGGGTAGTAGTAGACCGACTCACCAAGTCGGCTCGCTTCATACTGTTTCGAGTTGGACAGACAACGGAGAGTTTAGTTGAGCTATATGTTGGCCTTCTTGATTTGATGATGTTTAACAAACAATTTACTTCTAATGTTGTTTGTCTAGTATTTGTGTTTTCTTATTCATTATAGACAAACAACATTGTTGGAGGATTGATGGAATAGAGCTTCAACGATGATATCCAATGGAGGTTGGCGGAATGTCGGGTTGAAGCCTATACAATTCAAGTTAAAGATCAAGTTCAAGCTTCATCCGCAAGTGTACCAAGTCAAGCTTAATTGAAGATCAAGATTGCTTGGGTAATGTAGTTTTAGATTTTATATTATGTGTGTTATATACTCTAAGCTCAATATCTATACACACACATTTATTGGTTTCTTAGTATATATATATAGTTATATATATATATATACATAAGTTTTGGTTTCTATACATATATATAGTTATATATATACATACATAGTTTTTGAGTTTTCATGTTTATAATATGAAATCACATATTTCATATTTACTATTGTTAGATTTTATATTATGTGTGTTAAGTACCTTAAGCTCAATATCATATACACACACGTATTTAGTTTCTATGTATATATATAGTTATATATATACATGCATAGTTTTGAGTTTTCATGTTTATAAATACACGTATTTACTTTCTATAGTTATATATATAGTTATATAGTTTTCATGCATAGTGTTAAGTACCTTAAGTTCAATGGGCGACAGAGAGTCTGTCGGTCGACCGGTCCGGTCGACCGAGAGCTCCATCGGTCGACCGATGAAATTTTCGGTCGACCGATGATGTCTTTTTTCAGCTTGCAACGGCTAGTTTTATTACCGTTGCTGGGCTGTTTTTGTCTTTTGGCTTGGGGTTTTTTGACTGAGTTTTTGTGTGGGTATAAATACCCCATTGCTATTTTCTTTCAAAAATAAAGAGAGTTTTAAAAAACAAGTTTAAAGAATTTTGTTTTAGGGTTTAGTGTTTGTTTAAAAAGCTTTTAAGCATTTACAAGAGTTTGAGTTTGTGAATTCAAATTTCACAAGAGCAAGTGGAGATCATCCTTGGTGTTTGAGCATTCATTCTTCTCCCTCTCTTGTCATCTATAGTCAATCTAGCTTTATATTTTATATTATTTGATTATCTTTTTATTAAGCTAGTGTTCATATTGAGTTTAGTTGATTTTATTATCTCTTTGTTCACACACAACCTATTGAGCTTATTGTATTTACATTCATAGTATAATTTAGGGTTGTGGGTTTGTGACATTGAGAGTGAGCTTAATTGAGTTCTCACCTTGTTTAGAGAACAATCAATTGATTTATATTGTGCTTAATTGTGAGGATTCACTTGTAATACACTTGTACACCGAGAGAAGTGTGTGGTGAGAGACGGGGTCGAATCCAAGAGGAGTGGCGTCGGTTGACGTGCCTAGGGAGAGGTTGTAACCGAGCACTTGAGGAGGAGGACACGGGCTAGGACCAACACTTAGTGTGTGAGGTGTGATTACATAGTGATTGTATTGTGAGGTGTAAACGTTGTTCGGGTGAACGTAGAAAACCCGGTTGTGATAGTGGAGATCTCCTCGAGGTGAGGAGCGGAGACGTAGGTCGTGGGGACCGAACTTCGTAATCATATTGGTTGTTTGTGATTGCATTGGTGCACTTACTTTTATGTTCATATCTTATATCGCCTTTGTATATTGCTTGTTGATTATATTGCCCACTATCTAGTTTAGATTGTTTACCCTTGTGTTTGCATATCCTTACATATATCACATTGTATATCTCTTTGATAGGATATATCATCTTGTGTTAGTTTATATATCCTTGGATATACATATTCATCATATAGGATATATCTCTTTGTTTGCATTGCTTATCCTAGCTTATATATCTTGTGGTATTTCATATTTGCTAGGATAACTTATTAATTAGTTTTAATTGGCATTTAATCGGATTAGATTAGCATAAGACCCTAATCACCCCCCCTCTAGGGTCTAACAATTGGTATCAGAGCTTGGTGCTCTTTGATTTAAGGACTAACCGCCTTGAGTTAAAGATCCAAGTTATCTTATTTGTGCTAATCTAGTTATGATTGCATTTGTCTTGCTTGCATATGTTCATATATATATCTTGAATATGAATGTATTTTGTTTAGGCTATAAATCCAATGTTGCTCCTAAATTCATTAATTTTCCCTATGCACAATGGGCTTCTAGATTTAAACTATTTGTTGAATCTAGAAATATTGACTTATGGAAAATTATTGATTGTGCTTATATTGTGCCCACATTGGAGAAATCCAAGTGGAGCGATCATGATAAGAAAATGTTTTCAATGAACAAGCTTTTGTTAGAATATTTGCTTAATGCCTTTGACTCATCCTTTTCTAACAAATTTGTTCATTTTGATAGTGCTTACAATTTATGGAAATTCATAGAAGCACATCAAGGCAACTTGGAGGAAATCCGACGTAGTTTGGAGGATTGTTCTTCAAGTGAGTGTGGAGCATCATCATGCACACGGCCACTAGGCGATAGCCCTAGTGTGGTAAGCGATTCGGAATCCGATAGTGATATATCCATCAATGAACTCGCTTGTGCATATGAGAAATTATTGCATGCCTATACAAAATTACAAAATAATTTTATTGATCTTAAAAGCAAGCATGTAGAATTGAAATCCGATCATGAGAAGCTAGTGTCCAAATTTGACATCATTGAAAATGAAAATATAATGCTTAAAGAAAACAATGATATGTTAAATTTGAAAAATAAAAAATTAACCTCATCCATCACTAGCTTATCTCATGTTAAAAATAATGCCATGTTAGAAGTAGAGAACATACAAAATGATACCGCTTCTTTTATAAATAACAATATATGTTCTACTTCTAATAACAATACTTGTATGCATAATGATGAGTTGAATCATGTTAAGGATCACATATCATCTTTAGATTCAACCCTTAAAACATGTATTGTTAATCATGATAAGCTTATGAACATGTGTGCTAAGTCTCATGCTAAAACATCTAAACATCCTATTCATCATGCACACATGTATAGCAAAGTCTACAAATGCACAAATTGCGGTCGTAAAGGCCATCTTGCTAGATTTTGCTATGATGCACATAACCCCACCAAGATTCACTTTAATCCTCCTTGTGCATCTCATCAAGCTTCATCATCACATTTTGCACACACACATGCACATGCATCTATTTCTCATCATAAGCATGCTAATGTGTATAAATGTGTTCTATGTGGTCGTTTTGGCCATTTGGCAAAGTTTTGCTTTGATTTGAAAAAGAATTCTAGTTTGCCAAATGTTTCTAGTAGAACACATGTTTTTAAATGTGATGTTTGTGGTAGATTTGGCCATTTGGCGAAGTTTTGCTATGATTTGAAAAAATGTTCAAACTTGCCAAATTTCTCAAGTAAACCACCTTTGCTTAAAAATGTTTTACACTTGCAAAATAATTTTAAAAGACCATCCATGTTTGCAAATGATTCTAATGTTTCCCGTGCACAACCGTTTGGTCAACATAAGCAAATGCTTCCTTTCCATTGTACAATATTGTTTTGACCATGCTAGTGCACCATATGTGCCCAAGAGGGTTCATAACCCTAGGGCTTTGAGCTTCATTGATAGGGGTCATGTCCCTAAATCTTTTGGTACCAAGAATACTTGGGTACCAAAACAAATTTGATTTTAAACCAAGAACTTTAGTGTTTTTATTTTTTTTTGTCTTGGTTTTGAAAATTATGTTTTAAGATCTTTTGGCTATGAAAACAATTTTTTCTTTTATCAAATCCTTTGTTTTCATGATTATTAGTTTTGATTTTGATAAGAGGTTTGTATTTATATAACCCTCGAGGTTTGTATTTATATAACCCTCTGGATTTATTGGGTGTTTATTCCCAAATCATGTTTACCGGATGCTAAAATAATTATATGGGTTGAAATAAGCTTAAGAGCTTGATATATTGTTGCCTCTCTTGAAATTCTTTTGTCAAAGAGTTTGTTTTGATTTATTGCTTTGAATTCATTATATTTCACTTATATGATGATATTTATATGTTTGTG